CCATGTAGACTATCACACAATTCACAATAAAACATTTATTTAAAAAAAAAAAGTTCTGTATACATCTCAAATGGGCAGAGAAAGAATTTACAGTTACAAGTTTTCTGAAGAAAATGCTCTTTATTTATTTGTATGTTCCCTTATCAACACTCACCATGAGCCCACACACCCCTGCACACATGCGTGCATTCTCATACATACACATAAACACAAACACAATGAACTGTTACAACCTCAGAACACGAGGGACTTTCTATTGTATCTTCTGTCATGCCCCAACCCAGTGTTTACACATATGGACTCAATTTGTATTTGTGGAATTGACTTGCTTAAAGAGCATATTCATGAAAAAAAAAATGTAGTGAGCATGCATGCCACTTTAATAAATAGCAAGAGCTGAGACATTGTATTTATCTTTTTTAGCCTATATTGCTTGATGCATTTTACCTTAGCTGTATGGTTTCACAACTAGGCCAATAAATAACATCATGATAAATGGGGAAAAGATTGAAACTTCCAAAGATTTTATTTTCCTTGGATCCACAATCAATATTCATGGAAGCAGCAGTCAAAAAAATCAAGTGACGTATTGCATTAGGCAAATATTCTGCACAAGACCTCTGTAAGGTGTTCAAGAGCAAAGATACCAGTTTGAGGACAAAGGTGTGTCTGACTAAAACTCTGATGTTTTCAATAACCTCATACGCAAGTGAAATTTGTACAAAGAATAAGGCAGAGTATAGAAGAATTGATGTATTTGAATTATGGTGTCCGAAAACAATATTAAAAGTATCATGGACTGCCAGAAGAACAAACAAATCTGTCTTGGAAGAAGCACAGCCAGAATGTTCCTTAGAAGCCAGGATGGTGAGACTTCATCTCTCATACTTTGGACATATTATCAGACGGGATCAACCCTTGGAGAAAGACATCATTCTTGGTAAAGTAGAGGGACATGGAAAAAAAGGAAGACCCACAAGGAGTTGGACTGAGACAGTGGCAGTGACAATGTGCTCAAACCTAACAACAATTGTGAGGTTGGTTCAGGACCGGGCAGTGTTTCTTTCTGTTTGGAAGTAGGTAAAAGATGATCAATGAAAATAATGAAAAATACAACCTAAGATTTCCTTTTAGGTTGAAGACTGAAAAATAGCTGGGTTCCTTATGATTACTATACCCACCCTGAAAGTCAGGCAGGCATTGCTGGGTTCTTTTCCTTTAGGGACCCTATATGTTTCTACTGCTTTATCTATACAAACATACTTGTTGGGATATGTGTAGGATGTAACTAACAATCCTTAAGTACCTCTCGCTTCCTCTCAGGGGTGCCAGGATTTATAGTAATATTATTTCATGCTACCCTCCACTGCCATCTCCCAAGCTGATTTTACCTCTTCAGCCCCGGTGACAGAGTAGGCATGACTCTTAACCAGCTTCCGGCTGGTGACCGCTTCTGTTTCAGCTGCACTGGAGACCTAGGTTGAGAATGAAGTCCACTCAGGGAGGCTGGCCCTCATTGAGACCATCTCTACAATGTTTCCAAGAATGGACCGTCTGTGGGGATAGAAGCCAGCCAGGGGCTGAGAGTGCCGTGTGGCTCTGAGCCTCAGGTAAATAGAGCCATCCCACACTTTAATAAGGCCTGTAGATCCAGGTAGTGTTATGTGGCTGCCAAGGCTGGAGTAAGACTCGCCAGCCTTTAAAATGCCACCAGGAAGCTGGGAAGTCAGGGGCCCCTACTGCCTGAGAAGGGCAGACTTCCAATGGCGGGTGGTCTGAACATATTCTCCAATGTTTCCCCAAGTGGGGCTCCCAGTCATCCTTCCTCTGTGGCCCTGCCCTCCACTCCGTGCCCACATCTCCTCTCCATCAACAACATGTATATCCTGGTGGGATTTGTTTACAGAGAAGTGGGAAGGAAATAGTCCAGCTTTGGTGTTCTTAGGGAAATACTAGCAGTGCTAAAGGGATTCTGTGGTTAGGTGATAGCAATCAAGTTGATTATCAACTCTTAGTGACCTCATGTGACAGAATAGAAACACCCATAGGGCTTTCTAGGTTGTAATCTTTACAGGGAGGCCTGATTTGGCGCTACAGGATAATGCACTGGACCACAAGGTCAGTTTGAGATACAAGGTTGGCAGTTCAAACCCACCAGTCGCTCTTTAGAAACCTTTCATAACAATCTTTACAGAGGAGCTCTGGTGTGGCACTATAGGCTAAGCTCTGGACCACAAGGTCAGTTTGAATGGCAAGGTTGGCATTTCAAACTCACCAGCTGCTGTGAGTCGGAACCAACTCAACAACACTTAACAATGACAATCTTTACAGAAGCAGATCTCCATATCTTTCTCCTGCGGAGCAACTGGGTGAGTTCAAACTGTAAACCTTTAGGCTAGCAGCCAAGCATTTAACCACTGTGCCACCAGGGGTACTATAGCAAAAGGAGAATTGGGCTTTCAGCAAGACAAATCCAATCCCCACCAACTAATTAGATCTTCAAAGGTTCCTGGGTGACACAAAAGATTTGTGCTCGTTTGCTAATCTAAAGGTTGGTAGCTTAAACCTACCCAGTGCCACCACTGAAGACTCAGCAATCTACTTCTGTAAAGATTACAGCCAAAAACAAAAAACAAACAAAATAAAATGCTATGAAACAGTTCTACTCTGAGTGGGTTTGTTTGAATTAGGTCTTCACCAGCTCCCAAGTGGATCACCAAACCAGCCCAGCAACACCCACACTCTGCTTCCAGCTGCCCTGGGTCAAAGCCTTCCCACCTCTGCCCTCTGGCCAGTCCCTCCCACTGGACACACGCAGGAATGAGACGCTGGCTCACGTCAATGGAGCAGCCCAGCAGAGACCTCGCACGGAGGGCCTTCCGGATGATCTGATACAGATTGTCTGGTGGCTTCCTGAGGTCATAAAACTCAGAGATGCCACCCGTGAAATCCTCAAAGCCTTCCACCGTCGACCCTCCAGCAAGAGCCTCGTAAGAACCGTTGAGCCTGTTAGGAAAGAGAAAACATGCACGGCCCACCACCAGCAAGGGGGCCACATGACCTGGGGAGGTGGTCAGACACAGTGTGGATATGCTCAGCACTTTCCCAGGAAGGAGTCTCAGGTCACCGCCCACAGAGCTGCCCACTTTTTTAGGAAGCAAAGTGCAACCCTTGCTGAGCTGACCAGGCTTCTCAGGTCTCCAGGGCCTGGGCTGGGGGTGAGGGATGCCAAGAGGCATCCACCTGAGGATTGCTTTGGAAATAGGGCTGGAAAGGAGCTCGGGTTGCAGGGAAGGGGACCAGGCAATGAAACCAATTAAGAGAACCCAAGGGAAGGCTGGACGGCACTGGACTGCTAACTGAAAGTTCAGCGGTTCAAATCCACCAGCCATTCCTTGGAAACCCTATAGAGGGTCACTGTGAGTCGGAACCAACTTGATGGCACTTAACAACAACAATAACAGCAAAGGAAGACTTTGAGTTTCCAGAGAAAGTGAGCAAAGGGACAAAAGACAAAGACTCCTTGAGTTTCATATCCGCAAACAATTTTTTTGTCATTATTCATCATTCTTTTAAAGGTTCACAATGACCTCAGCATTTCCTGGAGGTTTGGAGGAGGAAAGAGCTCAGGTACAGGGAGGCCAGATAGCTTCATGTGAAACTTACACATTTATGTGAGACAGAACTAAGGCTTTTAACTCCTGGCCCAAATTTCTGTTTCTTCCTAGTTACCTAGGGTCACTTTCTTTTCATCTCATGGGGGTCCCAGGTGCTGGGAAAGACCTGAGCATGTAAATCTGGGTTGGGCTGAAGTAGGTAAAACCCTCCAGCAGAGCCTGGAGCCTCCTGAGCACCTAACCACCACCACTTACTTGGCGTAGGCTTTCTCCAGCAGGGCACTCCAGAACTCACTGCCTTCTTCAGAGTGCAGGAAAAGCAGCTCCCCATCCTTGGTGGGCAGCCGGTCATCCACCACCACCTCCACCCACTCGCCGTACTGCCAGAACTGGGGCAGGAAAACACAGTGACAGCTCATGGGAAGAAGCCAATGGGATGAGAAAGTCTCACCAGCAGTCCTCACTAGGGGGCATGGTGGCCAACCACGTTCAAGTCTTGGATGTCTAGTGAGTTTCAAGCTCTGTGAAAGCAGGACCCATGTCATACTCATCCATGCGCATCGCTTACTGTCATCAGTCAGTTTCAGCCATGGTGACCCTATCCTGGACATCTTTACAGGAGCAGACAGTCTCGTCTTTCTCCATCAGAGTGGCTGGTGGCTTTGAACTGCCAACTTTGCAGTTAGCATCCTAGTGCGTAACCTACTGCGTCATCATGACTCCTTTCCATGCATGTAGCCAAACCTCAAACCCACTGATATTGAGTTGATTCTGACTTATACCAACCCTAAATAAGGTTTCTAAGGAGCTCTGGTAGCGTAGTGGTTACAAATTGGGCTGCTAACCTCAAGGTCAGCAGTTCGAAACTACCAGCTGTTCCACAGGAAAAAGATGAGGCTTTCTGCTCCCGTAAAGATTTACCGCCTCGGAAATCCTGTATGAGTTGGAACTGACTCCACGGCACATAACAACAACAACAAATAGGGTTTCTGAGACTGTAAATCCACACATGTGGTGCTGGTGCTGGCTGTATGCCACAGAGTCAATTCCATTCATAGTAACCCTATATGTTGTTGTTGTTGTTGTGAAGTGCCATCGAGTCGATTCCAGCCCATAGCGACCCTGTATAGGGTTTCCAAGGAGCAGCTGGTGAACTTGAACCACTGACCTTGCAGTTCAAACAACTTTGCAGTCTGACACATTAGCCCACAGCGCACGTCAGGACTCCAGTAACCCTGTATGTTGTTGTTGTTAAGTGCCGTCAAGTCAGTTCCAACTCATAGCAACCCTGAATAGGGTTTCCAAGGAGCGACTGGTGAGCTTTAACCACCGACCTTGTAGTTCAAACGGCTTTGCAGTCTGGCACATTAACCCAGGGGTCAGTAAATTATTACATGAGCAGAAAGCATCATGCTTCTCCCATGGAGCATCTGGTAGATTTAAACTACTGACTAGCAGTGCAGCTCGTAATCCACTATGCTACCAGGGCTCCTTGTGAAATCATCCATTTAGAAGATGCCAAAATAGCACGTACGTGTAAGAAACACCTGTTCCAGTCTCCGCATTAGTGGTTATGAAAATGCCCAGCTTCACACAATGACAATGTTGTGGTGACTCAGATTCACATTTCCTGACTTTTAATCTAAAGTGCTTTCCTCAAGGTCTGTGGTTGGGTTGAGTCGGGAGTGGGAACAGATGTGTGCACCAAACTGAAGTGTGCATCTCCATCACCTGGTGGGCTTATTAAAACCTAGTTTACCAAACTCCAAAATCCCAAACCAGTTGGGATCAAGTCAATCCTGATGCAAGGCAACCCCGTGTGCTTCACACTAGAACCGTCCTCCATAGGATTGTTGTACTGTTATTGCTTTTTAGCTTTTTATTGTGAATTGGGTGACACTTTACAGAGCAGACCATCTGTTTCACATTCAAGTACTCAAACACATTGGGTTAGATCATTAGGCCATTCTTCCCAGGCACCTCTGGGTAGAATGAAACTTCCAGCATTTAGGTTAGCAACCAAGTGCGTTAGCCACTTGAACCACCCAAAGACCCCAAAAACATAGGTAGGGTGCCATAGAATCAATGTCAATAATGGTAACCCCATATGGTAAAATAGAACTACGCTATAGGATTTTCTCACTGTAATCTTTATGGGAACAAATTGCCAGGTCTTTCTCCTGGAGAGACACTGGGTGGGTTCAAACTGCCAACTGAAGGGTTGAACTCTTAACAGTTATGCTCCCAGGGCTTCTACAACATTGGTTAAGGGGACCCAGTCCCTGAGTTTCTGATTCCGTTGGTCTAGTGGACACAAGACTATAGAAAGTCTTGCTAAGGAGCACAAGTGATGAAGTACAATACCTGGAAATGAAAGATCCCTGCATAGTTCTTCTGGAAGCTCTGGTCCTTAGGAACCACTCGGTATAGCAGGTCTTCATTCAAGGTGAGAGAGGCAATGGCTGCCAGGAGCCAGCAGTCACCTGCACGATGTCATGGGAGACACACACTGGTCAGCCTGGCCTGTAGGGTCCCTGTTCCATCTGCCCTCACTTTCCTATTCAGTCCTCCCTTCCACATCAGGTCATCAGATTCTATTCCTCAGGTGTCTGAAATACACAGGCAGCCATCAGCTTTGGAGGTTATACTCAGGATTAGAAAGTCTCTGCTGCTCCCTACCACCCTCACATCCGGGCCATTTTACATCTTCTAGGAGTCGTGGTGTGGCACTGCAGGCAAAGCACAGGACTGCTAACTGCAAGATCAGTGGTTCAAACCCACTAGCTGCTCCTTTGCAGGGTGACTGTGAGCCAGAACCAACTTGACAACAGTTAACAGCAACAAAAGGTATCCAAGCAGTAGTAAACAATGGAAAGAAAGAAACTTAGGCACTTTAGTCCGTTTATTGGCAACCCTTATAAAGCAGTTAGTTGGGGGCAACAGTGAAGCTATTTCATCAGTCCAGAATTTGTGTGTACGTGTGTGTGTGTGTGTGCATGTGAATGTGTGTATCCATATGTGTGTATAGGTGCCTGTGTGAATGTGAATATGGGGAGTTGCATGTGTATCTGTGTGTGCTACTCACCTCTGATGACCTTAGACAATGGTGAGCTGGCTCTATATGGTATAGTCAGAGTTCCCCCTTTCACATTTCAGAGCTTACCACAAGTATCAAGCCTTGATACTTCATTGATTAGAACACTCAAGATTATTGATTAATAGTAAATCACCATAATTTGGGGTGGAAGAAATCAAAACCAAGAAGCTTCAAATTCCTACTGCTTGACTTGACGTTGGTTACTTTGGAGTGCCAAGTAAATACAGAAGATAATCCCTGTCTTTGAGAGTTACATGCTCCATTAGATGATAATCAATGTCCCTCTTAGTGTCAACTAAAAAGCATATGTCCCCAAACATCCTTTGCTTATCTTAACATCCTATGACAGATCTGTCATCCTGGGATTGGTATAAAATTTCTCACATCTCTTTAAATATTTATTCTACACCAACCTCTGAAGTCTTGATATCCTTAAATGTGTTTCTCATTGTAGGAAAGAATTTCCTCTTATGGACCAGAAGCTGCTTCTCTCGAGCTTCACTGAAGAGTCCTAGCTCTAGGGTTCTAGGATTAGGTGAGCAAGTCCCTGTTCCTCCTATCCATTCCCTTCCAATGGCGCCAAACTCCTGCCTGGTATCTCAGTCTTCATCTTTTCCATGGAAAAAATACAAACCTTTCCAATGTATCTTCAGGTGGAAGTCCCTTGACCCTTTTAGATTCTCGCCTCAGGACCTTGTCCAACTCTGTTTCTCTTATAAGATTGTGGGCAAAGTTGCATACATATGGCAGGTGTAAACACACCATGTTTCCTCAGACTAAGGTTGCCAGAGCAAGCAGTAAGTCAAGTGTGACCCAGCAATCTACATGGAAGAATCCGTCATTGCTCAGAACGACCCATCACCAGGTCATCCTGGGAAGCCCTTTTGTTCTATCTGCCCTCATCTTTCTCAGCAAAGAGTCAGGATTTTTTCCAAATCCATTTCTTTCCCCTTTCTTTTCCCAACTTCCTCCCTTTCTCTCTCCTCTCTCCCTCTCTTTCTCACATTCACAGAGAGAGAGAGAGAGAGAAATGCACACAACGTCTAATTTCTGAAACCTTTCTGATCCAAGAGGTGACCGACTGTGCTTCCCACCCCCTTTTCTCAGCAGGCTCCATCCTCCTGATGTGACAACAAAGTTCCAGGGTGAGACTAGCTTCAGTAGTCAGCGGAGAGTTGGTAAAGACAGGCTGGGTTATGTTGTCTTCCACCAAAGAAACCTCAAGTGGTATGGTAGCTTATTCAAAGGTGACTTCCAAAGTGAGGACACTGAGCTTCTTCCTCCCACCAGCTCCTCTCTCTCCAGTCTTATTCCTATTAACACCTGTGGTTATATCATTCCTCAGCTCAAAAACTCAACCATACTCCATTGCTTAAGGATGAAATAAAAACTCCTAAAAGGATATCAGGAGTCCAAGTGGTAGCACTGTAGGATAAGTGCTGGACTCCTAGCCACAAGGAAGGCAGTTCAAGCCTACCAGCCACTCCTCGGAAACCCTATACAGGGTCTCTATGAGTCAAAACTGATTCAATGGCATTTAACAACAACAACAGCAAGATATCAAGCCCCATAACTCTAATCTTGATACCATTAAACTCCCTACAATGAAACTACTCCTTCAATCAGAAATTGCTATTGTTGTTGTTAAGTGCTATCAAGTCGGTTCCAACTCATAGTTTCCAAGGAGCAGCCAGTGGGTTTGAACCATTGACCTTGCAGGTAACAGTTCAGTGCTTATCTTACATCCCACACCAGATCATCAATCAGACTTGGAGAGTGCTGGGGAGCTTTGAGAAGGAAATGTGTGGCAATGGATCCAGGAGAGCGCCAACAAGCAGCTGATGCATAGATGGAGTTTGGAGTCCAAATTGGCTGATGCTTCTGATCTGAGGCAGCCTGTGATAATGCACAAAACAACGAAACCAAACCAGTCACCATAGGGTCTATTTTGACCCCAGGTGTGTCAGAGTAGAACTCTACTCTGCTGGGTTTGCGGTGGCTGATTTTTTGGAAGTAGATCACTGGTCTTTCTTTCAAGAAGCCTCTAAGAGGACTTGGATCTCTAACCTTTTAATTAGTAGCCAAGTGCTTAATCATGTGCACCACTCAGTGACTCAAGATGAGTGCACAAGAGAAGTACAAGCCAGATCTTTAGAGAACACAAAGAAAAAGAGGTGACTCTTGACTGTCGGGTAGACTTCATGGAGATGGGGTAAGATTTAGCAGATGAAGTTGAAGCAAGGACTTCTTAACACAGGGAACAAATGAGCAGAACAACAGGTGCAAAAAGATAGCAGGACACGGTTCTGACATATCTGCGTCTGATTTCAGGTCATATACTCAGATCATAGCTGTCTCCTAGTTCAGACTTCACACTCTATCTATGCATCAACTTCTTGCTGGAGCTCTCCTTGGTCCACCCCAATGTATTCCCTCCTCACCGCCCCCAGGACTCTCCTAGACTACTACTTGATCATAACTGTTTCTCTCTGCCCCTCATTCCTCTCTGATACCTTACTGCAGAACAGGGATGCTGACCTGCTCATCTTGGTGTCTTCAGTATATAACTGACACCTAGTAGGGGCTCGCTGAATGATGAATTTAAAAAACAAAACAAACAAACAAACAAACAAAAAAAACCAAGTTATTGCTCAAAGGGCACTAAGCGTTTATTAAGGAAGTGGTGAAAGCTGCTCAAAATGAAGGCCATAGGAAACACCACTGAATTGTACATGCAAAAATATGCCTAAACGGCAAATGTTTGTTATATGCACATTTATCACTAGCTATATTTTTTAAACAAACAAAAAATTGAAGTGGAAAATGTTTTGTTATATATATTGAATGAATAAATGTGGTGGTTTTGTAAGTGCTGTTGAGTTGGTTCTGACTCACAGTGGCCCTGTATAGAGTTTCTGAGGCTGTGAATCTTCATAGGAGCAGAAAGTCTCACCTTTCTCCTGAGAGCGACTTGTGGACTGAAACCGAAGACCTTGTGGTTAGCAGTTCAGTGCTTATCCTACAGTGTCACCAGCACTCAAATAGGTTGAATGGTGGCCCCCAAAAGATTTTTGACCACATTCTACCCTCTGGAACCTGTGAATGTGACCTTATTTGGAAAAAGAGTCTTAAGAATCTCAAAATGCGATTCCTCTGGATTATATTGTTATTGTTGCTAAGTACCGTCGAGTCGGTTCCGACCCATAGTGGCCCTGTATAGGTTTTCCAAGGATGATATGGTAAGTCTTAAATCCAATGACAAGTGTCTTTAGACAGTATAGACGACACAACATAGGAGACAAGCATGTGTAGACAGAGGCAGAAGCTGAAGTGATGCAGCCACAAGTCACGGAAGTCATTAAACCGACAGAGGCCCGCTTAAATTCTCCCCCAGGGCCCTGACACCCTGACTGTGGACCTCTGGCCTCCCGAACTATGAGGAAATCTATGTCTGTGTTTTAATACATCAATGCTGTGGCAACTCCTTATGACAGCCCTAGAAAATTAATACAATAAATGTCCAAATGAGTGAGTCATGTTTGTTCTGCAAATATTCCACAGCTCCTTCCATCAGTTTGTACCTAACTCTCCCAAGTCTGTGGAGAAGTGAGGGTCAGCAAGGACATGTGCTGGACTTAGCAAATTCCACCCCCACCAACATCAAGGTCCTTTGTTGTCGAGAGCTCTCAGGCTGATGGAGGGAAACAAGGGGGACAAACCCAGGAAGCTGACCCCTGGAGAGTGGGCAGGAGCATTGATTGGCAAACCTTCTGAGGCAGCTGCACACCCTCAATACTGGGCTCCTTTCTCGAATGGACCCAGGTTAGATAGAGGTGTCCCTGGGTGGTGTAGACAGTTAACTGTTTGATTGGTAAAAGTTCAAGTCTACTTAGAGATGCCTCAGAAGGAAAGTTTAGTGATCTACTTCTGAAAAAGCAACCATTGAAAACTCCGTGGAATGCAGCTCTACTCTGACACACATGGAGTCACCATGAGACAGAATGTATGTAAGGAAAAGCAGGGAAGTCCACAGCAGAGAAGACTCATTGGTTCAGGAGCACCACAGGGAACAGGACCCGAGACCCTGGCTCCCAGTCAGGGCTCCTCCTAGCCGCCCACCAAGCACACTCTCTAGACATTATAATTCAACACACAGCAACAAAATGTTCCTTGGTTGCTGACATCAAACAGAGCTGCCCAGCTGGAGAAGAGTTTAATTTTCTCTTCGTCTGACTCATTCTTGACATTTCACAGGGTCTCCCTGGCTCTTGCAGCGAGCACAGGGCCTCTGAGAACCTGATTTGGATCCCTGCCAGTAACTACATCAGGTGTAAATGGGCTGTGAGGACAAGAAGGTGTTTTCTAAGGTACAAATCCAAATGAGTG